TTAAAAACATTTTTTTAGAAGAACATTTTCTTCAGAGTTTTGCAGGAGGGAAAGTTACATTTCTTGTTTGAAATTTTAGATTTCTCTTTTGTGGAAAGATGAAACTAAACATTTTATTTCTGAGGAGTTGTACATTAAACTATATCTGCATATGGTACTGAGATTTCTCGTGTGAATTTCATAGCTAAATTCTTTGGCTAGATTACATTTGAAATTGCATTCCACTATCTTTTTGGTGACAATATTCAATAGAAAGCAGCATGCAAAACATTTTTCCATGCTAAAGATACATATGCATTATTTTGTACTGTGAGTGTTTTGGAGACCCCTTAATGCATGATCTTTGTCTTCCATTTTTCATTCCTGGGCCACTGAACTGTGTTTGTTAATTGTAACACGGATTATGAGGCTCAAAGAAGAATCAGCAGGTGAAATTCAAGGGCTTTTGTCAGGCAAGAGGACAGACAAAATGATCAGAGTCATGTTTTTATGCACTAATTTGTTTCCGTTATTTGCTTGTAAACAGTTAGGTTAGTATTGTCAACATGTTTTACTGTACATGGGCCAGAAACATCCGTAGCTTGGATCCTGCACAGACTGTTAATACTTTGTAACCCTTTGCTGTCAATAGGACTGCTCATGTAGTGTTTTTTAGGCTGGAGTCACAGACTAGTGCCCTGGGATGCATTTGAACCAGTCACCTAAGAAAAAGGGTTCTTATTTTGACAAATGTCACAGGCAATAGAAATCCACTGCAGAAGAAAACATTGTTGTGCAAGTGGTGGTACAGTTCATGTTTGACTTTCCCCAGGCCTGGCAAGACCTTTCGTGACTGTTTGGCAAGCACAGTTCTGGCTGCTGCTCTGCTGATGATCTTGATCCAAAGCAGGTGTCAGTTCCATGCTTTTCTAAGAACTGCTTTGCATTTTCATTTTGTGTTCACAGAAAAGAGAAAACAAGTTAACACGGTGTCAGCTGTATTAGCATTTTCAAAGAGGACACAGGCCTGCAGACATCTGCTCTGTAGCTGTCAGTTGTATGGTTGCACATACAATCTTGTGTGTAGTAACTGGTGATTGTAGCTAGAGTGAATTCCTTGTGTTGAGGAGATGCTCTTTTATTTGTGTATTTCAAACACTGTTTCAGAACAGTTATTCTGTGAAATAGTGTTGTGGGAATACATTTAAAGGAAAAAGAAGTATTTTTGTTTAAAGTCAGTTCCATTTCTCTGCTGCAGTGATGTGGTGCTATCGCAGACTCAAACTGATTTACTGTGTCCATGTCAGATATGCTTTATTCTCTTCTCCATAGTCTCAGTTTAGCATTCCAGGCATGAACGAATTTAGCAAACTTCAGTACTGAAATAAGCGTGGGAAAGAATAAGATTGTATTTTGTGTACAGAAGCACATTTGTTCAAAAAGGTAGAACTTGAAAAAGTGTTTATTTGGAATTTACAAACTGTTTGCTGATAGGAAGAACCCTGTCTTGAAGTAACTTGGACTCTACTTATTAAAAATGAGATACCAAGGAAATGGAAGGCATGGCTGGACTTAGATTCTCCAGTGTTTCGGTTGGTTCATCCCTAAAAAGGGTAAAATTAAGTGACAGTAAGCATCTTAATGGGAAGAACAGGAATTACCAGAATCCCAGGGGATGGCAGAATCCAATTGAGATAGGAAATGTCTTTTTTTGTTAGAAAATCTCAGAGTACCCAAAATGGCTTGTTGGCAACACCAGGTGGCAGTGCTGCCTTTACAGACTTGAGTAATTTTCATTTAAAGCCGCCTTACTCCGTACAAAGCTGTAGTTCTTTCCAGAAGCTGGTAGGGATGTAGAAATACTGAGAAATGTGAAACATAAATTTGTAAGGCCAAGTACTTGCTTTAGACTTCTTTTGTATTTTAGTTAGGTCTTCAAAATAAATCAAGGCTTTCTGTATACCGAAACCAAAATGTTAGCCTGTGAGGTAAGGTATTAGCTCTGCCCATCATTCCGAGGACAGGTAATCTTTTCATCACAGTTGTAGGTTCTTTCCTATCGCTGCTGCATCACTGGATTTCAACCGTGTCCTCGATAGACCACTTCTAGGAATGAGGGACTAGAGACCTTACATGGTGGCCAAATGTGCCACTTGTTGATGTGGCTACATACTGTGGATAGGTACACACTGCGAATCAAGCTGAAACCGTGTTGATTTCCTAGGCCACCAGACTGGTGTCCTTAGATGTCATAACCAGTGACTTGGAGGGTGAGGGTCAATATTTTCCCAATTGTCCTGAAATACCTTGTTGCAGGCAGCCAGACATTGAGTTTCTATGAAAAAAAAAGAAAATAAAAATTAACATGAAATCTCAGATATCAATATTCTAGAGACAAATGTGAATTCATGTCCAGAGGTTAAATGACCTCAGCTCAGACTAACAGTTTGTTTTGTTAGTTTGTTTAAATCCATGAGATTTTGCAAATACGTAGAAATATGTTTTTAGAGAAGTTAAAGTTTTGTAAAAGTTCATCTCGTAGAAATGTATTTTTAGGCAACGTGTATGAGAGATTATATATGCTAGTGTCCTCTTTGGTAATGACTATCAGATAAAAGCACTTGCAACATTTTGATTTGGCCATTAAAACATTTATTTGGCTTATACAGCAATGTTAGTGCTTAAGTTTAACTATCAACAGTGCTAGGAGACTTGGATGTTCACATGCTTGAATTCTAGTACTTCCATTGGGATGTTTTTAACTAAGAAAAAGCTTTAATCTTGATCATTGAATAGCAACTTATGGAGCAGACTTCGTTTACAAAAGGTAGTGGAATTATTTCAAAACATGAATATGAGGAAAATAGTCTGGTTTTAGGTGCTCTTCAGAGAAAACAAACCAGAAAACAATTACTCACTGCAAATTATTCCTATCTAGAAACTACAGCAGAAACAGCAATTTGTCCAGAAACAAAGCTAAATTTCCCATTAACTTTGTTTGTCTTCTATTCTTTAAAGTTTAATCAGCTGTCATTTTATTGTACTTTTTTACTGGAGCTGACAGATGAGTGCTTCATGTTGCTTTCCATGATAAAGTTCTGATGGAGTGTTCCAGTTTTGTAAACAGCATAAAATGTCGATCATTAAAATTCTGTGTGTTAACTCTCCCACAGGAGGCCTGTGTATAAATGGCTAGCAGTCTTGGGATCTTGCGCTCATAGAATTGTATTAATTTGGTGTACATTCTACTCAGTGTCTACTGAAATGGGCTCTTCCATCTTCATGAATACCTAGACGAAAGAAGTACCAAGCTCAGGGGTTGAGTATGGCCCAAATGGTCTTAAGTGTCACCTTTCAGTTTTCAGAGGGTGATGCAATAGATAAATGAAGTCCCAAAATTGTGCAGTTGTCTCTCTCAGGTCCACATTGCTATGTCATCAAACATAGCAGATTTCAGAGTGAATACTTTTTTCCAGCTATCTCGAAATGCAGATAAAGAATGGTGGATGATAGTTGGCTTTGTATGTGTTGGCAAGGATCTAGCCAGTTCTTAGTTACTGACAAGTTGACTTGGCTGCGGCATCTGTTCTATCTAACTTCTAGCACTACTGGGAATTCCCCCAAAATTTTTACCTATGTGCTCCATCATGACCTTTGTGAGTGCTGGAGAGATGGATAATACAGAGTCAAATACAGACAATTCCTGTAAGGATATTCCCACAGACATTTCTTTACCATTAAAAAAGATGAACTGCTGTTTTAGTGGTTATCTGGTACAGCATGGCCTTGGTGGCCCATATCGGCTCAACATCCTGTGTTGTACTTCATAGGAGCTGGTACTGAGCTTCGTAGGAGCTCAGTAACTTTGCCTCAGATTTCCCTTTGTTTTCACGGTCATGAAATGTTTGCCTTGCCTCAGCCAGAGATGAATGCTTTTTTTTTGTTTGTTTGTTTTGAAGAATACCTTAAAGTGCCTCAGGAAGGAAGGTGTTAGGCAAACTATGTGGCAGGCAGCAGCACTGTCCAGACTAAGAGTCAACCATTTTGTTCCAAATCAAGGCTCTGTCATGTTATTGCAGCAAAAATCTTTGCACATGTGCTGTAATTTGAGAGAATACCTATAAGGTCGGACTAGCATTGAATGCCATTTGTACTGTTAGAACTGTATACCCCTCAGTATTCACTGGTGGTACAGGTGTTTTCATAAAATGATGAACAGTGATGCCACTTGTTTTGTGGACAGAACATACATGGACTGCAACCCTTGGAGACACAGCATGTTACTGGTGCACTGCTGCTTCCTGGCCCTGTCAACTTTGCCAGAGTAGGCGGCTTAGTTCTGATGTGGTCCTGCAAGTTGTGCTCACCTCACATTTAATTGACAGGTGTGGAGGTTGGATGACCGTTTTGGAAAATGAATTGTAAAATGAGCCAACTCCTAAGCTCTTTTAGGGTGGCCAGTGGAACTAACTGAGAGGTGTCAAAGGAGAGGCTGGTTCAGTAACAACTGTAGTCTTGGGGTGCAAAGGATGAAGTGAGGTGCTAACGATACAGAGAGAATATGTTGGATTCCTGGTCCTGGAAGATGCAGGAGAATAGGAAGAAAGAGTAGGATTGAAGTCTCTAAATTTTATAGATTGGATGTTATCAGTTCATGTCTCAGCTAAGAATCAAACAGCTGACACTAAGCATACAATGAACAGCTTTCTCTTCGTGAGTCATCATTATTTTCCAGGAACAGTATAAAACTAAACTCTAAATTAATTTAATTTAACTTCCAATTAAATTCATTAAATGCGGTGGTTGGCTACCTGTTTAACAGTCAGAAGCTTGAAGTTCCTGTAGGGTCAAATTAATATTGTTATACGACTGCTGGAGCTGAATGCTATAAAGTTAATAAGGTACTGGCACAGTGCCCAGTTTGATTAACATGATTTCTTTGGATTGCTGTTTGTGACTGTAGGGTTTATCAGTATGGTACTACTTGTTTCTGTGTCGTCTTGTTTTACCATAAAATAAAGGACAAACCCATGCCAAAAGCACTGTCCAGCATATGCTAAGCTTGAAAGCAAGTGTGAGTTTTAAGGACATCTGCTCAGTTTTCTAGATGAATTATATTAGTTATACTAATTTCATCCAACACATTATAGGGTAGTTTGCTTTTCCCCCCTTCTTTCTATTCAGTTAAAATCATCATGTTGAGAACCTTTCCATGTATTATTTTCTGTTGAAGTATTTAACAATAATTGAAAATATTGTTTTCATACAACTTCAAAATGAGATATGAACAAGGAAACAGAATTTGATTTCATGGACAGAGGTTCTATTCTAGGTTATGTGATGGCTCTGCAGGTTCTCCTGTAATGCCAGTTGATTAAACATGCCCTTTTTCTCTTTTCTCCAGCTGACTTAGCCCACTTAATGGACAGAACCTATGAAAGAAAGCTGCCTGTCAGCTCTTTGACAATAGCCCGGGTAAGGAAATAAATCTCAATCATAAAGTGGTGGAAGTTACAGTGGAATGCATATGAAATCAAGTGAGCTGAGAGGGCATAAATGATATAACCTGTGCTGGGAGTTCTCGGATCTTAAATGTCTTGTTATACTTTTAAATTGCATGCAAAGCTGTTTTATTGTTACTTTGTACTCATTAGTTAGTACCTGGACTGTACAGTCTTCAAAACAGAAATATTTTTTTTTCTCAGTAAAATCGGGCCTTACTGTTACAGGGCTATGTATTTCCCTGATATAGGTCCCCTGCCTTCCTGTGGTTTCTGTCTTAGTGAGAGCTTGAACGCCCCCTCAGGCACTTTGTAAGAAGCCGGGCTGCTAAAGGAATGCAGTGAATTAGCACACTGCCTGTCTGTGTGCATCTTCCTCCACTTCCAGGCTCCTTTCAGAGTGAGGCAGAGGTGGTTACGTTATGCTTCTTTAGTTTTCCTCCCTTGCCTCAGTAGACTGAGGCAAGACAAACAGTGGCGTGGGATAAGTGAAGCCATTATTTTTACAGGAATTAGTAACCAGTTCTGTCCTCTGGATGGGTTAATCTGGGGAGGGGGAGTGAAGGCAGAGATGTGAGATGTGCTTTTACGTTCTCTGTGTAAGTGAGCATTTGTACTGAAGAGGGAGAATAAATATCTCACTTGTTTTTTTTTTTTAAAATAAACTAATTTCAATCTTCAAAATTATCCAAAAAAGCTGAGTCACCATCCTGGTACCTCAGTAACTTCATTAATTAGGATCATTGGCACCACTAACTGAGCAGTCGCAGAACATTTTGTACACTTGCCAGATCAAGCGTTTATACAGATCATGTAGTCTTGATCACTGCTTCTGAGACAGTGGCCATGGGGGAAATGGGTGTTCCTCTCCTTTTTTTACTTAATCAGCTTTATTCCTTTCCTTTATGTTCCTGCTTTGGGCTGACCTCTTCCACGGAGGAGTGGCATTTCCAGATTGTCAAACAACCCTGCTTTCCAATACCTGGAGCTCACATCAGTTTCCTATTTTCCAGAATGTAAATAAAGTGCACAGGCATGTGTTCTCCACAAGAAACTGGAGAGCAAGTACCAGTTTTATTTTTAGCTTATGCTTAGGATAAAGAGAAGTACTGACCTTGAGAACATGTTTTTTATATATTCTCAGCTAAAGGTATTACATTGGGAAGACTCTGGAGTGTTCCAGCATCTTTATGTGTGTGTTAGTAAAATCTACAGGAAAACAGGATTCAGTGCTACCATAAGACAAAGTCTGGCTGAAAACTTGGATTTTATTTAAGTAGTTGATATCACTAGGAATTTTGGAAGGTTGTCTGGAGCAGGTAAAGTTTTAAATGAGAGGAAAATTGTGCTTTACAGCATGGGGGTGTGTGTGATTTTTTTCATACTGTTATTTATATGTCTGGTGAAATGTAAAATGCTGTTGCCTCTGTCCCTCAGAATTTATAGTATGAATAGGCACAACAGGCAAACATTAGAGAGGAGAATACTTTTTAGAAAGAGAAGTCAGGAGTGTAAAGACTCATTCAAAATTGGGGAAAAAACGTTAGCAACTGAATTCTCAAATTAAAGGATGTCATTAAAGAGCAAAAAATTAAGAGAAGAGCAGCAAAAATATGGGGTAGGGAGCTATATGGATGTAATTCCTGGATAGTCTCTATATTTTCAAGGTGCATAACATTGTTTAGAGTTGAAGAGGGGAGTTGTCTCAGTTTAAAAAGATTTGACTTTTAGCAGTCTAGAAGAAACCTGACTAGGAGCAAGCAAAGACTGGAAGACCTCCACCTAAATATGCCAAAGAAATGTATTTTTTTCATTGAAGTGGCACTTTCTTCTAATATGCTTTGTGAGTGTTCCTTCTGAAGCTTTTATTTATTTTTTTTTACCCAGTTCGTTGACAACATTTCTTCACGAGAGGAAGTGGATCAAGCCGAATATTACCTTTACAAGTAAGCATCTTTCCCTCCACAGGGAGCCTTGAGACATAAAAGTTACTACCATGAAGTCTTTCCTTTTTAAGACTCTGACCCTTTCCAGCTTAACAGCTTTTGATTTCTCTTTTGCAAAATATGTGCCTCTAGTTTTCTTGCAACTCACAGCTAAGGGCCTTCTTGGTAACATAGCCTTCTTCTGGACCTCTGGCATTGACTCCCGTCAAGCATGGTAGTCTGGGCCACTGAACAGCTAATACAAACGCCAGCTATGATTTACATTAGTGGTGCTAAAATTATATGGAATTATGTTTGTTTACAGTTTTCCTTCTGATACTTTTTTGTTCTCGAAGTCATAATTCAACTAAATTGGCTATATGCGTATTTGCATGTCGAAGTGTAGGACCCAAGGAAGCCTGTCTCCTTAGAATGAACAGAAATGAGAACAGGCATGCTGTGGTAATGATCAAGCCAGCAAGGCTAAATGAAGTATAGTTTTGGTTTTTATCCCCTTAGTACTTTATGTTCCCCATATAAGCTGTGTGGTTCATCTTATGTATGGGTTGTTAGGGTTTTCTGCAACTATTTTTGTATTGAGTGAATTGTCTTGGGTACCTTTTCTGCTAGTGTCAGGTTGAATGCTTGCTTGCTTTAGGTCAATACACCTCAATACCAACTTTAAGGGGGCGGTAATTCTTGATGATCACTAAAATAAATTAGTTCTTTTATGGATGGTTGCACACAGTTTTTGAGAGCTAGGCTTCCTGATGGAGAAAGTAACTCATCCTGTCAAAATGTATGAGAAAGCATCTTTACAAATAATGTCAGGTTATTATTTGTAAATAATATTGATTTTTCTTTTAATGAAGAATTTTACTTGGATGGCTGTTAATAAGTATATGCATCGTTATAAGTTCATGACTGCATTAGTCATGATTCTCTGGTACTACTGGGCAGTATCTGAACCTCAGAGCTTCAATGTGGAAACACGAGAAACACAGTTTGCTAATACTAGCAACATCCTGTAATGAAAAAATAAAAGGAGGAAGAAAAATCTCTCACAGAGAGGAGGTTAGTGGAGTTTTCATTCCTTCTGATCAAGATTTCATAAACTCATAGAACAGTTTGGTTTGGAAGAGACCTTGAGAAGTCATTTAGTCCAACCCCCTGCAATGAGCAGGGATATATGATTTCATTAGGCCTGTCAGAATCTGTGGTCAGAAATGGGTTTTCCATCACAGGTGAAATGAAAACAGGAGAAAGTAAAGCCAGTTGAAGATAAGCCCTCATTTTTGTTTAACAGATGTGCTATTAGTACCTAATGTGCTAACATTCTTGAAGATTGTGATGTGCTACGTGGAGTTAAGTTCTCTCTGGTGGAGTCAGGCCCTGTAGGGTAAGGAATGCCAAGAGACCTTTGAATGCCCTGACACCAGGAAAAAAGTGTGGTAGTTTAATTGCTGAGTCTCAAAATGGTACAGATAAAATCCAGATAGTCACAAGTGAGATGTACATACATAATGTATCTTACAGGTTCTTTCTTCTTGAAAACAAGACGTTCAAGGAGAGTGACAGAAAATTAGAAGCACAGAAAATGCTCCATAGTTAGAGGAATAGAATAGAATGGAGATCTCTAACTAATGTAAATACCCTCTCTACTCTTCATCTCTGCCTGGTTAGTACATCAGTTTAAAATACAGGGGGTTTAGCCTTAGAAACGCATTCTGAAGGAGAGATTTGCAGTTAAAAAATAATTAGTTATTTACTGTTTCTTTAAGAAATAATTCAGCTGGTGAGAGTATAGTTACGCATACATCAAATATGATCGTTTGTAATTGTATGTCTGTGTGGAAAGAATATAGAGGTACTCGTGTCACAAGGCTTGTCAGACGTGCTTTGGTTGGAATTTTTCTTGTGTGTGTCCTTGGTGTTGCAAAATACTTAGTCTTTTGGTGATGTTAGCATCAGTGTTCTGGGAGACTTTATTCCAGTATGACCTATGAAACTATTCTTAAAATACATTTATATGCAGGTAATGAAACAGTGTAGAGAGGTCTGTAGTTCACGTGAAAATGTAAAAATCCCAATTATAAGATCAGCTTCCCTTTCAAATGAAAATAAGCATGCAAGGTTCAGGAAATAGGAGATGTGGTTGGTATCTGCAAGGCCCCTTTTATTGTTCTTCACATTTTGCACTTAGGCTTGAGTTCAGATGAAGGACATGTTTATAAAGGTGTCTCTTTGCAGCTAGGAGGATGTTTGACACAGAGAAAGTCCTGCAAAAGTGGCCACACTGTAAGACATAAAGGAGGTGGTAGAGAGGGAGAGTCAAGAAACAGAAGCTTTGACAAGAAATCTCTTTCTGGCTTAATGAGAAACAGTTGAAAGCATAAATTTTGTACTTTGTGTAAGGGGAGTAAGCTTCTAAAGAGAAAGGCAATATCAGTGAAAAGCTTTTTTTGTATCTTCTAAGTTATACAAATCCATTGTGAGCAAATGGCATGTACGTGGCCTGGTAAGTTGGCTGTATGTGCATTTGCCTCAACGTAAATAAGCAGAATGCTGCCAAAGTCCTGTGTTGGGTTTTTTTTTTCCTTAACTGCCTATAGAATATAAGGGTGAGATTTTGATGTCTCTCCCCAATGTTGGGTGCCTGTGGCAATCTGAGGTGAAGGGTAGTCAGTTCCAAGGCCTCTGCAAGGTTGGAAGATGTTCCTGGTACAAAAGAGCAAACTGTGCCTGTGGGAAGAATCACAAGGAAGTACATGGCATTTCCACGCTCTCTGTATGGGGTTTTCCTGAAGATGGGAGTGCCAGAACATGTAATTTTAAGCTTTGTAGACTGGAGACTTTTCTTGTAATGTGTCACGCAGTACAGGTTTCAAAAAGTAGTGTTCTGGAGCATTACCATAATGCATTTAGGGTCCCGAAATACAATATACGTATTATATTTAGATCTGTTTCAACTTTACATCCTTTTAAAGCAGTGGATCTCCAGCCATACTGTCTCCACAGAGGATCTTGAGCTCTCAAGAATAGCTGTGTGGAAACTGCTATGCGGCATTGTGGAACATGTCAGTAAGATGGTAAAGGACATTTTGAGGCATGACGTCATCTGCTTTCAGTGCTCCTCTTTTTGTTCTCTTCTGAATACCTCCCCCCCTCTGTTAATTGTCAGACTTTAAAAAATCCTTTCATCTCCTAGGATCCCAGCAGAAATTCTAATCAGAATGCAGAGCACTTTCAGCCAGATCAAAGACCTGCAGTTCGCCTTACTTTGTCCTGTCTCACTGAGATGTCACTATTTCTCACGTCAGGGTGTTTTCATATGATAGAAGCATTAGCATAACGGGGAGAGGTTTTGTGGTGAGGTAACTCTGCTGATTCTTTATGTAGGTTTTATGCCAACAAAGATTTTCAGTGTGTTTGAAAGCAATTGTGAAAGTTTTATGTTGAGATTCCTCAGGAGGATTTTTAATTACGTTAAAACCCATGACCCATTGTGTAGAAAAAAAGTATACAAAGTGTCTGTAAAATGTAAATGTTTGTGTGTGCATGTGCTCTGCAAATTCTTGCACAACATACCTAGATTTTTTTCATTGTCTTTCCCTGATTGCCGGTTGCTTTTTTGGAAACAGAGTTATTTCTGTAGATTTCAAGATTTATTACCTTGGGTCAGTACTTGATTATAATCACAAAATGCAAATTATTAAGTTATTTTGAGATATGCTGTTACATCTTTCATGGTAGTAAGTTGGGTCCCAATTTCAGTGATGAAATCATTTGAAGACTATAGTGGTCTCCATATATGTGAAATTTTGCTTATTCCTTATAATGCCAGTGTATCAGTTTGTCCAACATCACGTGCAAAATAAATTTCACCTACGCTGCCTGTATCTGCACGTCTGTTCTGTGGGTGCAGAAGTTGCAGGTTTTGATATTTTCCTGCCAATCCAGCAGTTTAGCACCTGAAAACGTTCAGTTACTCTAAAGTATTGCTTGTAATAAATGATCACAATGGACCAAAAAATATTTTAATCCTGAAATATACTTTGCATGGCATTCATTCCCACTAATATGGTATTTTGTTTCTGTGTGTAAATCTATAGGATGTAATGAATACCGTTAACCTGTTCCAGCACAAATAGAAAACGGAGAAAAGACGTAGACACAATCTTACAACATACTTAATTCTTCCTTTGAGATGTTTTCATTTTCCTAAGCCTATAACTGACATAGACTTCATCAGTTCATCAGATCTTGGCTTTTGCTCCCTGTAGACAAATATTTGGGTTAAAAAAAAAAAAAAGAGTGAGTCAGAAATATCTGCCTATTATTCAAGCTATGCAGCAGTTATGTTTTGAAATAATACTGGGAAGTCGTGGAAGCATCTGAGAGAAGAATACAGTTCACAACCAGAATGGTATGTTTTACCAGTTTGGACACCTGCCTCAGCTGAGCAATCCAAGATAACTTAATTTTTAAAAGATCTGGGCTGTTCTTTGGCGGATTGGGAGACACAAGGAAGAGAAGCACCAGAAAGATTTACCTCATTAGAATGTTCCAGTCATTTGCATGTGAATGACAGAAATACCTGTGTTTAATGCTGTTGCATTATGGTGACCGGCATGTGATGCTGCTTCATGGCAAGAATTGTTGGTCACTATCCAGAGCAGTGCTGTCAGGTGTAAGTGTTCTGGTCTTAAAGCCTCCACCATTATTCTGGCTCCAGCATTCACTCATTTCTGCACAGAGGGGCACATGTACTCACTCTCCCTGTCATCTTTCACGGTTTCTCTGTTGTCATTGTCCGTCTATGGCTTGTCAGAGTCTGAGCTATAAGAATCTTTGGAGAAAATAACTAGCAACTACGTTTCAGAACCCAGAGCCAAATTTCAGCAAGCCTAATCCTGTGATCACATCTCATTCAAATAGGTGTGCTCAGTCAGTGTACCTGTGCTGTAAAGTGGGGAGAATCATCAGTAAAGATACAACACTGAAAAGCATTCAGAAAGATC